AGTTCCCAGGGCGTCCAGCGCTTGGCGGCTTTCTATCTTCCTGGGTCCCCTCCAGTCCTCCCTCGGCGGCAGCTTCGCCACGCAAAGAGGGGGCCCCGCAGGCACTGAGGGACGGACTCCTCAAACGACCTGCTGGCTGGAAATCTTCGGAAAAGCGACAGAGGACCCAACTTCCTGCCGGAGCGAAGGGCACCGGAAGTGCGTCACAGCGCGCGCCGTTTGGATGCGAGACTGAGGCTCCAGGCTGATTCTGCGGAATGGACCGCTACCTGCTGCTGCTGACCTGGGGGGAGGTGGAGCGCGGGCCGGACGCGGCGTGGGCGGAGGGCTCCGCGAGGCCGCCGGGTGAGCGCGGGGCCGCGGCCGGCGCGAGCGGGAAAGCGGTGCGGGGTGTTGCAGGCGCCGAGCTCCGGGCCCGGCTCGTCGGGCGCGAGTCCACCCAGGAGGCCTGGGCGCGGGGGACTGTCCCGCGCCTGCCGCTCGCCGCCTCCTGTCCTCGAGCTGGTGGTGGTCGCAGTGCTTTGGGGCTCCTGGCTAGACTCTCCGTGGCATTGCACTTATTCGTTTGTTTAGTCGCAAAGGCATCGTGTTGTGTGTAAGGCATCGTGACACCGTTTCCCTTCTCCTTAGCATTATTGTTTTGGGGGAATTTGGGGTTTGTGCCAGGTGGCAGACTGTGCACACCTTTCTGTTTTCTCTGCTTGCTTTAGACTGTATCACAACGTGAACAGATCGTGAGCGGCGTGCACTTCTTTTACTTCAACATATTGGTCTTGAGGGTCTCTGTTGGTGGCTTTGGAACTGGCGGGACCGTGTAACTCTTGAGACCTTTGAGTGAGTCTTTCTTTTTTCCCCCAGGCTTAACAGCAGCAAATGTTTACCACATCCTGAAAAGAAGCATTAATGCTTCAGTTAATCCAGAGGATAGTACTTTTCCCGGTAAGCATAACACAAACGTCTCTCTTCTCTGGCCCAGCATTTGTATTGCAAATTAATTCCTTTGGCCACTTAGGTGTACAAGGAAATACTTATTGACTGTGTACACCGGGATGGGAAACAGGAATTCAAGACCAAAAAAGACATTGCGCCTTCTTCCTGATGCGTGAGTGTCACACAGTTGTCATGAAATTTATTCTCAGTTCTCGGCTTGAATTTTGCTCTCTTTATGAAATTTTTCTGCTTATCTTAGGTCTGTATAGCACAGGATGATGTGGCGTTATGAGGAGGATTTTGTTCTTAGTGAGAATGCATTAGCTGTGCTCCTACACTGACTTTCTTACCACTTATTTTCTTCTGTTCTTAGCTCTTACTGATTCTCTTAAACGTTCTTCATAATTGGTAGACACAGTGGGTTCGTTTATGGTTCTTATCTGCTTTGGCTTTTTGAAACGTTTGGCTTTTTGACTACCCCTTACTTTGTAAAAGTCTTTCCTCCTTTAGCTTCTGTTGGTAGTATACAGATGCATCCACTTATTTTGATAGTCATCTTCTCTTTTGCTTCCTTGTCTTGGCCTGTATCTGACAGTTTCCTTTAAAGGTTCTGAAAATGGAGATGCCCAAACAAACCAGCCCTAAAAGCTGAAGGAAGTTTCTGTAGATGCCAGGAAAAGTTTTGGATAACTTTGTAGTTTCATGACTGTGCAATCGGCTCCTTTTTCTTTTCTTTTTATTTTTTTCTCTTTTAATTTTTATCCTTTCTCTTTTAATGGACTAGAGAATATCATGTGTCTCCCTGACAAGTAGCAGCATTGGGAGTGATTTCTAATATGTATGTACTGGTCTAACCTGTTACCCAGGTCCCAGCAGTACTCTCATTAATTTTCAAGTTGGTGTAATTTAGTAGCACTAGTTACTGCAGGAAAGATTTTTCTTATATTTGCGTCTCAAGTGTATATGTAAAAGACTCTTGGGAGCTTTCTAAGGGTTCTCATGGTTAAGTTTCACATCCCACTTGTGTGAGTAAATGTTTCTTTACAGACAGTCTTGTTTTGCACAGTAGTGTAGGACTTTCTAAATCATCATGCAAGCTAAAGCCATGCAAAGCAATCTTAATATAATAATCAATGAGGAAAAAATTACAGTTTTTCTATGACTGTTAACATTTCTTGTCAAAGCATTAAAAAACTCTTACCATGGGTTATAAATGTTTATGGAAATAGAAAAATACAGTAGAAGTAATGTTTATTTTGTACACTGTAATTTGAAACCTCAGAAACCTTAGGAATTAAGTGTATTATTTCTTTGTAAAGCCTTGTGAAGAGGAATCTAAGCAGTGCTTGTCCCCTCTTGTCATCATATAACTTAGGGCACAGAGTGAGCATCTTTTCTGTGCTTGGTGAATTATCATACTCCAGTTATATCAGCTTCCAGTGTTTTATCCTTTGCACTTTCAATGTTGTGTAGTATCTCTGAATTCCTAAGGTTTTGCTGGCATCATTTTCTCTGGGACATCTTCATCCTTTTCATGACAACATATCTGTCATGGCAGCTATTTCTAGAACTCTATCTTAGATTTGAATATCACTTCCAGCATCAGCACTTTTTGTTTCTTTGCTGTGCTCCATTTGTTTTCTTTTTTTTGCCAATTCCAGTTATAATTTATTATAAATTAATATTATAAATTATATTTATAATTATTCCAGTTACAATTATCCTGTTTTGTAAAATATCACATGATCAGAGACAGGGAAGCAGCACAGTTATATCTTTTGCTGTCTGTGTGTAATATGGATAGTGGTTGTACAATGACCAGTTGGTGACAATCTTTGAAAGTAGTGATTCGTCCCTGATCATGATACCCATCATTTATTTATTTATTTATCTTTTGAGTTGGAGTCTCACTCCTTTGCCCAGGCTGGAGTGCAGTGGCACTCACACTCACGGCCACCCCAGCGTCGACCTTCTGGGCTCCAGCGATCCTTCCGTCTCAGCCTTCCTAGTAGCCAGAACTACAGACGCATGCTACCATGCCCGGCTATTTTTTATGTATTGTGGAGATGAGGTCTTGCCAGGTTGCCCGGGCTGGCCTCAAACCCTCAGGCAATCCAATTGCCTTGGCCTCCCAAAGTGCCGGAATTACAGGCTGAGTCACTGAGCCCGGCCACATCTTTTATTTTTATAGTGATTTCTAGACCAAGAAGCTTGCAGTGAAGTCTTACTTTATGCAATTATAGTTAGTTAATATACCATGGTAACTGAAACTTGAACCAGGTTGTGGGGGGCTGGTGAAATTTGTGCATATCAGAACCATTCAAAGAATTTGTGCATATCAGAACCATTCAAAGAAAGAACTGCCTGTGTTAAAATTCCCTACCATGCTAGGATCATTGCTTTCAGTAATAAGGCAAGTCTGAGGAACTAGAATTTCAATATGATTATAACTGAGCTAAGAGTGGAGAGGTATGCATGGCTATATAGAGGGTTTTATAAATGGAGTAAGGGTGTTTGCACTTATTTCTAATGGTAATTGGCAGCCATGAAAGGCTTTAATGAAGGAGGAGACATGTTCAGATATGTGCTTTTGAAGTAGTCTGTCTGCTGTAGAGAAAACAGATTAAAGTATAGCTATTGGAAGCTTGCTGCAGAAGACTGACTGAGAAGTGCAGGAGGCAGTCAGGGTGGGGGAAGTGGATAGATGTGAAGGCAGAAGGCAGTCAGGGAGGTAGAATGCCATGTGTCAGGCTGGGTGGACCGGAGTCGCGGGGTGAAAGGATTAACCAAGACAGTTACGAATTAAGAAAGATAGATTTATTGAAAGGAAGACACATTGTGAAGGGCATAACAGACCAAACAGCAGCAAGAGAGAATTTGCTGCCTGCCAAGAGGCAGGTGCTAAATAGAAGCCCGCATACAAATTGGAATTCGGTGTGGGCCACTGGGGGAATTGCCTCTGGGATGCTGAGGAGTTTGCAATTGACTACATGCAGTGCTGGAGGTTTGTAAAGCTATAGGTGGTAGGGTTTGTCTCTTTCATGGCACCAAGTTGACTGCTTGTTGTGTGTCATGGAACCAATGAGTTGTTAACTACTTTTCTGTTGGCTGCTGGCTATCCAGCTTTTGCAATTCTTGTCATTTCTCATTCTGAGATTTACTTCCTCAGTGTCATTTACCCAGTTGATGATTGGTCCTCACATTCTTCCACACAGAATTCACCTGGCCTGGTGTTGAGTTGGTGTGGTGTAGGAGAAGAGGAGGATGAGGAAGGAGCCGAGGATGATGTGAGGTTTTTGGCTTGGGTGACAGTGTGATAGTGGCATTTAGTGAGATAGGAGCAGCAGATGGCGAGAGAATATGACACGTTCAGTTTGGAGCAGGCGAGTGGTTGCCTGTAAAATGTCAAAGTAAAGATGTTTTGTAAAAATTGGATAAATGTGTGTGTATGGGAAAATGCAGGGGAGGGCTAGCGATGGGATTATGTATAAATCAATGTATAGATGTCAGGTGAAGCCATGAGCAGGGATGGGTTGCTTATCGTTAGTGGGAAGGCAAAAGGTCTCAAACTGGATCCTAATGTTTGAAGGAACTGCACACAGGTTTTGAAAGAATGGGAAGGAGCAGCCTGAAAGATAGGTGCCACAGAAGCCAAATGTTTGAAGGAGAAAGTAATCCAGTGTGTCAGCTTAGATTCATATGCCGAGAGGACAAATAACAGCAGAACTAAAAACAAAGCAGTTATTGGTGACTTTGGTGAGTTCAGTTGTGGCATGTTGGAGACACAAAGAAATTGAAGTACATTTGGAGGGAAGTGGGAAAGTCGATGAGGAAATGGGGACAAATGTGGAGGGAGGGAGGAATTGACGAGATCAGATTGAGTTGCAAGCAAGATAATCTGTGGTCTTGGGTTTTAGGAACTTGGAGAAGTAACTTTGGGAAGGACAGTGCCTCCTAACATGCTAAAAGGAAGGAAAGATTCCATGGGAATGCAAGTAGAGTTGCATGTTTCCTGAATGGGTGTTACATGAGTTATTACCTAATGGTGTCTGTTTTCACAGTAGATGGTGGTAAAGTCTTCTGCTGAGATTGTTGGAAGTAATAGGAACTTAGATTTTACCTAGCTCCCATTTGTTAAACTTCAGTTACCACATTTTCCCTCTTTCCTTTAAATCCAGTTTCTGTACATAGCTGTAAATTCTTCATGCTTCCTCTGACATATACCCTGGAGTGATCCTTAATTTTATATCCTCGTGTAATATTCTATTCTCCTAGAAGAGCATGTTCTTTATCTTTAGTCTTTGGTTACCCTTGAACTCCTACTGTTTCTAGCCAGGCTGAACTGACCTACGTGGTCTTTGGAGAAGGAATTGTTTTTACCAAAAAGATTTACATGGTTTTGTGTTACTCCATAGTAACTGAGTAGGTGTTATTTTCAATATCTTTTTTTTTAACTTTTACTTTTTTTTTATTTTAAAGATGTGGGGTACAATTCAGGGTTAGGTATACAAATGTTCATGATGCAGGTACCCTTGTTATTTTCATCTTTATGGTAGATTTTAATCTGTTTGAAATGATGGCTAAACCAATAATAGGGATTTTGAATTGTGAGGAGCCAAAGCCAGGTATTCACTGTGAGTGAATAATTTTGCTCTTTAGACAAATAGTTCTTTTTGAATTTTTAGTAGAGATTTTGAGAAGATCTGTGTGTCTTGGATAACTCCATAATGTGATTCAAAATTATATTGTTTTCTAAGTACAGTGTATATGCTATGCCATCTGCTAATTTATGGTATGCCTTTTTCTAATAAGTGTGATTTTGTTTTCAAGCCTGTTCAGTGGGTGGTATACCTGGTTCCAAGAAGTGGTTCTTTGCAGTGCAGGCAATATGTGGATTTTATCAGGTAATGCAAAAATAAAAGTAGCTATTAGTGAATGTCTTTGCTGATATAAAGAATTGCATGAATCTATTATTTAATGAAATCTTTTGATTTATTAGTTTTGTAGTTCTGATTGGCAAGAGATACATTTTGATACAGAAAAGGATAAAACTGAAGATGTTCTTCAAACAAATATTGAAGAATGTTTGAGTGCCGTTGAGTGTTTTGAAGAAGAAGATAGTAACAGCAGGGAATCCTTATCCTTGGCTGAGTATGCATATTTGCTGTTTATACTGTCTTTCTTTAAAATATTTGATATTAGACAGTTATTTTAAGACATAAGGGTGAAGATTACACCTTTAGCAACCATACTAAATAAATTCAAATTAATCAAAATTTTAAACTTTTAATTAGGTAATTTGGGCCTTTTATCGGAATAAGAGTCTTTAACATTGGTATCAGAATGTTTTGTTTCTTAAGCTTACATAATTTCAAGATAATTAAAAGTGATATTTTAGTTATCCTGTTATTTTCTTAAAGAGAAATTCTGCCTGATACTGTACTTTAAGTGTTTGAATAGAAATGTTATTTAGTGTTAATAGCTAGTATTCAAACCAAAATATCATTTCATTTTGCAATTTGAGACTGAAATATGCTATTTCTTCAGTTTATGTGTCTCTTTAGCATTTCTGATACCTTTTAAAATTGAGTTTGCTTCTAGGTTTTTTGAATTATGGCACAATATATAAGTTGATCTAGGTGATATAAGTTGTGAAACATTTTTTCCTTTAACTATCCTATCTCTGATTCATAGTTAATACCTTTCATTTTAGTCTTCCATAATATTTCATTATAGAAAACTGCTTTTATTTTATCTTAGTATTCCCATATTATAACATATCTTTAAATAGTAGCCGACTTTAAAAATTTCGTTTTACTTTTTGCAGATCCTATTTGTTTGTACCCTGTATAACCAGGGAAGGATCACTAAAACAGGAATCAGTAGAAGTGGACTTTGGTCATATGATGTTACACCAGTCTCTAGTCCTTTGTTTCCCCATCCATAAAGGATCAGGGTGATAAGGGTCTCGTAGATGATTTCTTAGGTGCCTTCATTTACCCTTGAAAGCTCTTATCATTCCATATGATTTCTTAGCATTTTTAAAAGATGGCAAGTTTAAAAGTAAATATTTCTGATTAGTGACCTGATTGTTATTTCTACAAGAGGGAGCATGAAAACTAGAGTTTAGTAGAGGATGCCTTAAGTTTCTAAGACAGTGATAGATTTATTTATTGAGTTGGAGCCTCACTCCGTTGCCCAGGCTGGAGTACAGTGGCACGCTCACAGCCATCCCAGTGTTCCAAATAGCTGGAACTACAGGTGCGCGCTACCTCACCTGGCTAATTTTTAAAATTTATTTATTGTGGAGACAAGGTCTCGCCAAGTTTCCCGGGCTGGTCTCGAACCCACGGGCTCAGGCAATCCACTTACCTCGGCCTCCCAAAGTGCTGGGATGACAAGCTGAGCCACCGAGCCTGGCCAGTGGCAAATTTATCATAAAGCATTTAAGTACCTTCATGCTATATAATAAACTATATTTAGAAAAAAATTTTTATCATATGGGTAAAATGAATACGTTTTGAAGAGTCCGAGGAGGGCATCAGGTTTTTCACTCAGGGCTTGTGAGACAGCTTCAGAGGAAAGACAGACACTCTGCATGTCTTCGCTTTTAAGACTTAGAGAAGTATTTGGTCTATTCGTTGTGATTTATATTTGGTATACTTTAGATATAGTTTAGGGAGTTTTATCCTTTGTTTTCTGCATGTGGGTAAGAACTTAGTACTCAGTGTTTGAATCCAAACTTCCATACAGACTAGTTATGTAAACTTTGGGCAAGCTGCTGAAAGTAGAGGTCATGGTGGTGTTAAAGGAGCACCTCAGAGTTGTCATCAAGGTCAAATACTATGCATCTAATGTGCATAGCAGTGCCTGACCCAGGGATCTTTATAGCTAATGCTACCTCTTATGTATATAATGTTATGTGATATGTATCTGTCCTTTTTTTCCTCACTTAACTCTTTTATTTTAGTCTGTATGAAGAATCAGCAGAAAATTTGCATCAGTTGTCAGACAAGCTTCCTGTTCCTGGTAATATTTTATTACTTTAAATATTACTTTAAATACTACTTTAAATAGTTTATATCTTATATCTTTTATGAATGAGTGTTATATGTATTCTTTATGCTAGTTTTCTCACTTCTAATCTTAAATTCAAAATGAAAATGATTTCTTAATATCAATACGGTATGTATTCCACTACATGTTTTAATAAAGTACACTACTGAGACATTACAGTTCTTTTTGTTGTTTTCATTAGACAAAAATTAGAACTTAGAAAATTACATACCCATTTTCTTTCCTTATTCATTGATTCTGAAGAAGAATCCTTCTAGTACATACCGTTGTTGTCCTGAATATGTTCTATAAATAAAACACTAATCCTATAAACAGCTTCTGGATAAAGAATCCTTTAATTTAGATAACATTCTTTATGGTGAAGTTAGTATAAACATTATCAAATGGAATGTCATACAGTAAATTTTTATTTTTTTACAGAACCCCCCTTTTTGTAGTAGAAAGCATATTTTGTGAAATACTGTATCATAGTATTCTTCAAACTGCTTTTTGTCATAAACTAATCTTTGTATTAATCAAGTAATTGTCTAAAATTTGGTACAGTTAGTATCCAAAAATACTTTTAAAGAGCATTCTTTTCTTAATTTTTTCTTTATTGAAGGTCAATGTTAAGTAGATGCTTATTGTATCTGCATTGTACCAGGAGCTGGGTGTACAATGATGAGACCATGTGAGATTACCATCAAGAAACTTGTAACTTGCAGATAGTTTAATCCTGTGTTCAAGGAGATCATAGTTTAGTGCAAAATGTCCCACATGGAAAAATAACTAAATACATTGATAAACATGCCAGTTTTCTTTTTCTTTTTCTTTTTTTTTCCAAGTTGGAGTCTCACTTCATTACCCAGTCTGGAGTGCAGTGGCGTGCTCACGGCCACCGCAGCCTCGACCTGCTGGGCTCAGACAATCCTTCCACCTCAGCCTTCCCAAAGAGCTGGAACTACAGACGCGAGCTACCATGCCCAGCTAATTTTTGATTTTCTCTAGAGACGAGGTCTTGCCAAGTTGCCTGGGCTGGTCTGGAATCAACATACCAGTTTTCTAAATGAAATGTGTCAAGTTCGTTTCCTTTTTGGCCAATTAGGATACTTTCATTATCAGTTTTATATTTGGCTTCTGTTTCATTTTGATTTTTCTGACCCTTCAGTACACTTATAATTTTATAAAATTTAAAGTTTTGTAAAGTTATCCTTAGGATCCAACAATGTCAGTATAGTTGGGTTTTCGGAATGTTGTATTGTCCTTTTAAAAGAAATAATTTATTTGAACATTACTATTTGTTTTTTTTTTTTTTGAGTTGGAGTCTCACTCCGTCGCCCAGACTGGAGTAAATTAGCTGGGCATGGTAGCTCGCGCCTGTAGTTCCAGCTATTTGAAAGGCTGAGGTGGAAAGATTGCCTGAGACCAGCAGGTCGAGGCTGCTGGGCGCCGTGATCCTTCCACCTCAGCCCTCCAAGTAGCTGGAACTACAGGTGCACGCTACCAGGCCCGGCTGATTTTTTTTTTTATTTATTGTAGAGACGAGATCTCGCCAAGTTAGGCGGGTCTCGAACCCGCGGGCTCAGGCAATACACTCACCTCAGCCTCCCAAGGCACGGGATTACAGGCTGAGCCACCGAGCCGGCTCTCACGTTAAAATCTTTCTTTATCTTCTAAATAAACAAAATTCAGTTGTTCAGGTGCTGTTTGGAGACATTTCAAATCTTTAAATGACAAAAATGCTCTTTTCTCTTTGTAGGTAGAGCAATGATAGATATAATACTATTGCCCTCTGACAAAGATCCTCCTAAATTGAAAGACTGTTTGCCTACTGTAGGAGCATTAAAACATTTGCGGGAATGGTATTCAGCAAAAATTACCATAGCAGGAAGTCATTGTGAAATGTAAGCTTCTTTGTCATTTTTGATCATTATCTGTGTCATCTGTTTTCACAAATTAACAAACTATTCTGTTTTTTAGACTCAGCATTTGAAAATAATTTTAACGTGATAAGATAAAATTTTATGTTGTACTGTGACTGGAGATTTATCTCATGAGAAGAATCTAGGTTTTTCATATTTCATATTCATGTCTCTGAGATGTTTAAGTTTTTAGTAAATATTATTGATGATGTTTTCCAGGCATTACTGTGCATTAGTTCTGCAAACACACTATGCTTTTGAACATGGATCTACTGGTTTGCAATATTTTGTTTGTTTTTGTGTTATGTGCCAATGCAGAAATAAATGTAAACAGCTGTGTTTTATGATATTTTAGTATATTGGATATTATAGTTTTGATCCTTAAGTAAGTATTCAAACTGGATTTGTTGACTTCATGATTTGTTTTCATCAACAAGTATTTACTGAGCACTGACTTGGTGGCAGGCAGTTGGTGGTGAGTAGGAAGATGAGAAGACATGATCTTCTTCATGGAAATGCAGGGAGAAGCAGGAGTGCTCTCCTTCAAGATGGCCTGTGATAGCTCTGTTCCCAAATTCTACCAGAGCGGTATGGGGGGAGCAGCTTAGGAGAGCAGCTCTTTTTTTTTGAAGATAAGAACTGATATCGAGTGTGTGTGTGTGTGTGTGTGTGTTTGCTGTGACACAACAACTGAGCCAACAGTAAGAGGGAAGTCTTTCTTCATCCTGAGTCTTAAAGATAATTACTCTTAATTCGTGAGGTTGTTGAGATTAAATGAACATGTGACAGCAGCTCATTCAGAGACTGACTTACTGGGTGTTCCAAAATATTGGGGAAAAACACACAGCAATATAAACTTTGCAGTTTTGCCTCTTAGTCTTGTAGTTAACTATAACCATTAAATTAGTAAGATATAAACCCTGTAGTTAATTGTCATAATCTTTTTTTATAGAAATTGTCAGAAAATTGCAGAATATCTTTCTGCTGATGTTGTACCTTTAGAAGATCTCAGAAATGTTATTGACACAAAGGAATTATGGAGGGGAAAGATACAGATATGGGAAAGAAAGGTAAACATTACTCACAATTTGCAAAGCAGACCTTTCAACTTTATTTACGACAGATAGTTAAATAAATCTTAATGAATGTGTACCTTCTAAAGCTGTTCTAAAATAGCACTAAGTAGCACTTTCTGCAATAATAGAAATGTCCTGCATCTGTGCTAATACAGTAGCCTGCAAGCCTCACACTGCTACCGAGCCCTTTGTATATGAGTAGTTCACTGGATAAACAGAATTTTTAATTTTATTTGATTTTAAATAATTTTCATTTAAATAGTCACTGTGATTATGTTTTGGGCACTGCAGTTTTAAAACATAGAATTTGACATTAGTCAAATTCATGTTTATCCAAATTGCCTTATTTTATTGTATGTATAAACTACTGAATGAACGACTAGGAGCATATTATCTTACCTATAATACTGCTGTACGTGATCTCTGTTCTCTGCTAAGCATCCCTCTGATTTTAGGCCATTTTTTTTAACCTAACTAGACCCCAGATTTCCTAACTATGAGAGTATTATGTTAGGTGAGCTCTTCTAATTCTAAATTTCTGTAACCTCTGATTTTATTTTTTCATCTTTTACTATGAAATAATATGTTTGGTGGTTTTTATCAGTTTTGTCCTTTTGAGTGTTAATAGTAATTTATGTATTTTTATAGATGGGAAAAGTTAAGCCCAGAAAGTTTCTTAATGTTTGGTCAGAATGGCATGGGTAGGTCCTTGGGTTCTCTAAAGCTGTGTTGTGCTAATTACTGGACTTGTTTTTTCCTTTTCAATTCACCCTTAATAATGGTTTAATAAAACCTCTAATTAGACAGCATAACTTAATGTAGCTGTATCTGTCTTGTTGATTTCCTTGGTTTTCCTAATCTCAGAAAGGTTAAATCTGCAGGTGAGCCTTTTCTGCAAGTGTTTTAATGTAAAACCCAGGTAGCAAAGTGAAAGGTATAATTTGCTAGAATTGCTTTTATATGTTTTCTGACAGATAATGGCAGGGTTCATACAGACAGATAATGGCAGGGTTCATGTGATTCTTTTATTCTTTTAGATAGGACATTAAATGTCCCTATCTCCACAGGATGCATTTAAAATTTGAACTCACTTTTTTCGTGGAGAGTAACTCCTGCCAAGAGGCATTGTAGTGAGTAAGGACATAGTTTCTAACATTATATTGCATGCAATCAAATCCCAACTCTTTCTTTCTAGTTTTGTGTGACATGTTGGGTAATGCTTAGCTGTAATTCTTGGTGCCGTAGTTGTACGATGGTGATAATAGTTCTATCCCATAGGGTTTTATGAGAATTAAGTTTTTTATTTTTATTTTTTAGTTGGAAGTTGGAGTCTTACTCTGTTGCCCAGGCTGGAGTGCAGTAGCATGCTGACAGCCACCACAACCTTGACCTACTGGGCTCAGGCGATCCTTCCGCCTCAGCCTTCCAAGTAGCTGGATCTACAGTCACACACCACCATGCCCGGCTAATTTTTTGATTTGTTGTAGAGATGAGGTCTCACCAAGTTGCCCAGGCTGATCTGGAACTCATGGGCTCAGGCAGTCCTCTCACCTCAACCTCCCAAAGTGCTGGGATTATAGGTGTGAGCCACCACACCCGGCTGAGAATTAAATTATTTAAAGCACAAAGTAACCACTCAGTAAGTGATAGCTATCATTATTGTTTTTGCTACCATTATTATTGTTAGTACTCTTTTGGTACTTCTGTAGTAATAGATCATCTTATCAACAGTAAATGTTGAAGGCAAACTATGTCTGAGACACTGTCCTGAGAACCTAGTAAGGAATAAGACAGACAGCTTCTGTCTTTGCAGCACTCACAGACTGGTAGAGAGCCAGATATTGAACATCGCAAAGAGGGTATTTGGTACTGTGGTTGCCCAGAATGGGTATAACATGCTCTTGCCAGCTGGTGAAGGGTCAGTGACAGCTTTTCATGAAAAATCAATGTCTAAGCTGAAATAGGAAGGATGTGTACCTAAATGTAAGAATCACTTTGAGCTGAGAAATCAAAACTAAGTTTATACATGGGTTTCATCTGAGCTTTTACATTGTGATAAGATGTATTGATCTTTATAGCATTATTCATGATGCATGTAACTTTGTTCTCTTGGTTTCTTTTCAGTTTGGATTGGAAATTAGTTTTCCTGAATTTTGTCTAAAGGGGGTTACACCTAAGAATTTTAGTACATCTACTTTAAATACTGATTTTCTTGCCAAAAAGATAATATCAAAGGATAAGAATACTTTGCCAAAGGTAATTGTTTGTTTTTTTTTTTAATCAACATGTATTTGTGTTCCTGTAAAATGTATTTGGATCTTGAATGAATGATACTAATATATGTGCCTAGGTATGCTCACCATCATAACTTTTAATATGATTACAATCAGTTTCTTAAGTTATACTGTCATCAGCAATAAATGTTGGTGAAACTATCATTGTTTTAGATTATTTTAAAAATGTAATGATACTAACTTTAAATCAGTATAGACCTGAAGCTACCTTTAGTTTGGAATTTACTATCTGATCTTTTTAAGGTTCAGTTTGAAGAGAATATGTTAAAGAGGATAACCTTTTATGTTAGGTAGACCTGTGTTTGGAACCTGGCTGTCACCACTGAGGTGTTGGGTATAACCTTGGGTAAACTGATTAACTCATTTGTGAAGTGGGGCAATAATCACACACTTATCTTACAAAGTTATTGTGAGGATTAAGTGAGGTAGGAGGTTGACATCTGACACAGTACTTGGCATAAGTTTAATTTATAGCCTAAGAGGTATTCTCATGTAGACTTATAGTCTGTATCTTCTGTAGATTCTTAAAGTGCAAGTAATAAAATGTAATAATTAGCAAAGAGTTCAGTTGACCTTTTAACACTGGAAAAGCAACGCAAGAGATACTTATATGGAAGCACTTCAGAAATCCACTTGAAAGGCCTCATTTACGAGTATGCAAGACCCAGTGGTCATGAAGCTGTAAGGGTGTCCAGGTGATGGTTTGTGTTTTTTGATCAAAGGGCAGTACAAAGAGAGGGCATAGTTTCTGATGTGAACTCAATTTCCAGCATTCAGAGCTGCCTGCTTAAAGTCGCTTACTAGGGCCTGTTTCACAGAATTGCTCATTTCGTTTTCCAAGTTAATGACCCTGAGAAATTGATGGCCCCTCCCTTGCTCTCTCCCCCCCTTCTCCCCCCCCACACACTGTTTACACACATATACCACATGTGTATATGTATGTCTGTATACTACGTATAGTATATTACATTTGCACAGAATCATATGTGGTGAAGTTACTCAGCTTTCTACAAGTCTGAAACCTGGTGTAGCTTCTTCAAGATGTATTTTCTTTTTTTTGCTCTTCATGTGAAACGCTCTGGCTCCAACTATTGGAATAATTATTCTACATGAGCTCACTCTGATTTAGTTTTTAGTTCTGCCTGAAGAAATACAGTCCTGAAATTTCATTTATCTGAATGGAGCTTTCTGTGTTAATTAGCGTATGGCGCCTCACTATCTAATTTCTTTAGTCTTCAGGATTTTTTTTTAATCTCAGCATACCACTCAACTTAAGTTCCCCTGGAGTGTCTTTTCGTTCTCTTTTCAGTCCTGCAGATCATGCCTGCAGAGGTAGGCTGCCAACTGTTTCTTCAAGAGGCGTTCCAGCCTCTTGGATCACCTGCCTGTCATGCCGAGGACAAGCAGTAAAGGTTGAGGGCTTGGCCTTCTGTGGCTTGCCTCTTCGTTCTCATTCTTCTCTCCTGCTGGAACTCTTTCGGTTACTGAGGCGTCTCCAGGTCTGCTTGCCTACTCTGAGAGGTGTATTTGAAACGTCTGCTACAAAGAATTAGACGTTTGGCTTGCATAATGTATGAAAGTTCCTTTTTCGGGTCTGTTTTAAAAATCGAAACCCTTAATCGCTGATTTGTTTACTTTCTTTTTTTTTTTTTGAGTTGGAGTCTCACTCTGTCGCCCAGACTGGAGTGCAGTGGCCGCTCCCGGCCACCGCAGCCTCGACCTGCTGGGCTCCGGCGATCCTTCCGCCTCCGCCTTCCAAGTAGCTGGAACGACAGGCGCGCACTACCATGCCCGGCTAATATTTTATTTATTGTAGAGATGAGGTCTCGCTGCCCACGTGGGTCTCGAACCCGTGGGCTCAGGCAGTCCACCCACCTCAGCCTCCCAAAGGCGCGGGATTACAGGCTGAGCCACCGAGCCCGGCTTAATTTGCTTACTTTCATTGCATTTACAGTGTTTAAAGTGTTACATAATTTTAATTTTTTTTCTAGGTTTTCCATTATTATGGCCCTGCTTTGGAATTTGTGCAGATGGTAAAATTATCAGATCTACCCTCCTGCTACATGTCAGACATTGAATTTGAATTGTATCCTTTCATTTTATTTACATATTCGTGTTAAATTACATGCTCTGGTATTGTCAGGCAAATAAAAGTGTTAGGTGTATACTTATTTTTTATTCCATTGTAATCCTTGTTTTAATGTTGATGTCTAAGTGGGTTGCCAGACTCTTTATTGTTGGAAGTTCTGGGGAAAGAGGTTCTTGCTTTTCCCACATCCTGGACTCTGTACCTGTCTATTAGAAATCTTTCTCCCTAGGCAAGCACCTTTATTTTAATTGTTTATGGGATATTTGCTGTGGGTAGGGCTGTGGAAGTAATTCAGAAGTGATTGTACCTTGATTCTTTAATGCGCTGTAATGTCCTCTGCCTGAGAATAAAACCCATCTACTCGTACCTAGTCTAGCATTAACTAAAACTGTTCTTCCCACCCACTGCTCAGAAACCATCTATATATTTTATGTGTTTGTTAACTTTGCTAATATTTTATTTTGTGTTTCATGCTATTTGTAATTAACATTTCTTCTTCTGAAATCCAGGAATACATCTCTATGACTTCTGTGTTTTTCTAAATATAATATTTCTACTGAAGAAGTCTATAACTGAAATAAATCATAGCATATAGTAAACACTCAATAAATATTATGGAATGAATTACTTTGTATTGATAGTCTAAACCAAAACGCTCATGATTTTCTTCTGCAAATTTCTTCTGCAGAACAGAGAATATTTACAAAGGCATAGGAAAACATCACCCAGTTGAGAACTCTTTGTTGTCTAGCATTACTAAAAAGTAGTAGTGTTTTGTTCTTAGGGTTTGGGGGATGGATCGCTAAGAGATCAGATTGAAGAGCCTTTTCAGACTGATCAGATCCTAAAAGACCTAATATATCGTGATTGGGGTTAAATTCTGTCCTAAAGATGATGATGAACCAAAGAAGGATTATAAGCCAGAGAATGGCTTAATGAGAAGTGAATTATAGATCATGCTGGAAGGATTTTGGGTAATGTAGTAGAACTTGAACTAAAGAAGTGGTATTTAGCCAGGCTCGGTGGCTCAGCCTATAATCCCGTGCCTTGGGAGGCCGAGGTGAGTGGATTGCCTGAGCCCGCGGGTTTGAGACCCGCTTGGGCAACTTGGCGAGACCTCATCTCTACAATAATTCAAAAATTAGCTGGGCATGGTAGCGTGTGCCTGTAGTTCCAGCTACTTGGAAGGCTGAGGCGGAAGGGTCGCCGGAGCCCAGCAGGTCGAGGCTGCGGTGGCCGGGAGCGGCCACTGCACTCCAATCTAGGCGACGGAGTGAGACTCCAACTCAAAAAAAAACAAGTGGTATTTGGAGTGGAGAGCCAGAAAAGAGTACACGATGTTTTGAAGACATCAAATCAACAAGACATCATGATTTATTACAGGAATATGAGAGACCAGAGTCATGATTTATTGCATACAGGAAAATGAGAGGCCAGAGGAGTGTGGAGGATTCCCTGTGTTGACTTTGGTGCCACTAAGAAGAGCATGAGAAGAGCAGTTTTCATAGAGGAAGAGGTACTCAGGTTTGGGTAGTTTTTGGCAGATTTGTCCATTGTCTATTTCAGTGTAGAACCATGCAGCCAGTAAAACTATAGGCTGTTGCCATTCCCTCTTTTTGTCACTTTATCTAACACCTTATGGGTCAAAAGCTAGGTGACATTTGACATATTTGTCTCAGTGGATCCTTGCATAGTCTCTGAAGGAAAGCTGAGGACTCAGCTCTTTGGGTAATGGGATTGTAAGGTGAGCTGAGTGGGCATGGCTCTGGACCCTCCCACTACAACCAGAGTAGGACCTCTTCTCTCAGTTCTAAATAGGTCTTACTTGGAAAAAGCTGTCTGCCTCAGTAAGATTTGTAAAGTGGAATTTAAACTATTTTCTTGGTACCACCCTATTTAGATATTTGACCATGTTAGCTTTTTAAGTAGTATTCAGTATACTTTTTATTGCCATTGTTTTAAGACAAGTTCTGCAGCTTCGAAAAAGAAAACCCTCCCTCAAGGACGGTATTTATGCTTCTAGAATAGACAGACACTTCCTGGTATTGCCACTCATTATGGAGTAGGGAAGAATGTTAGGAATCCGTGGAGAAAAACACAATTTACACTCTTATGAATGTTCCTGCCATCAGCATGATTAATACTTAAGCATCAGTCAGCTGATAATGTCTTTTTATATGCTCAAGCAAATACAAATACTATAATATATCAGCAAATATTCAACATATTTTGAACTCTCTTTTAAGAACATATAAAAATGTTTAGAAATACACCTAAGAATAGAACACCTCATATAAAAAAGATTGTTGTTAGCTAGAAGTAAAACACTAGGATAGCATTGAATTTTTATTCAGCAGCTTCAGTTTTTACACATTTCTTTTTCTGACTTTGTATTGTAATGCTGTTGTAGCACTATTTCTTAGTATATTTTCAGAATCAAGCAAATAATCCGAAAAATAATAATCCCCAAGGGAAGGGGTAATTGTTAATTCCTACAGTTAAATTTTTTAATAAATGAATTTAAGCAACTTGTGAAAAAACTGAAACAAACTTATCATAGGAAGTAAATTATTTCACAATTACCATTCCTTCATTTCTTTAACTCCTTAGAACAGAGGGTTGACAAAAAACAATACCAAAGAGAATTCTGTGTTGCTGTTGGAGCAGATTTCTTCTCTATGTGGCAAGGTACAGAGGAGATTTTGGTTTTGGGTTTTTTGTTTTGTTTGTTTTATAGTTAAAATTTAAGGATATGTAAGAAAAGGGAATATATATTGGTATGTCATATTGGTATATCATATTAAGACATTTTGGACTTCTCGTAATAACTCTAAAAGCACACTTCAGTTATAAAGTGACATTTTGTTTTTAGAAGAGATGTTTGGAAATAAGCTTTATGACTGGTAACTCCTATAAAGTTTTAAAATTTTACAACACGTTGTTGTTATACCTGAAATCCTTCAACATCTGATTTCAATTCTGTAAGAACACATTCATATGCCTGCATTGTCTTTTTCATGGTAGAGCAGGGGATAGAAGTAAGAAGGATTTCTAAAGCTTCATTACATTATTATTTGTGAGTTTAAAAAATTTTTCTTTATTATAATGTTTATGATATATAACTATTTTAATAATTATATATAACTATAATAAATGGTATTTTTAACATTTTAAAACTATAAAGAATTTTAAGTGGAATCATCTATCTAAAGTCAAGTTCAATTTTTAATAGAAAAAAGTAAAAATTTACTTCTCTTTGTTTTTTTATTATGTTGCTATGAACAATTTTTAATGTATAAAATATTTATTGGTAGCATTTATATAACCTTCATATTTGTTTTAACAACAAATAGACTATTATCAAACAATCATGCAGGGAGAAAATTATTATTATAATTATAGCAATTTTTCCATGGTGCTGTATTCTAATCTTGGTTATAATTCCCTTAGAAAATTCATGTAGTAAAGGAAATGTGGTTTTGAACTTACGGACTATACGATAACTTAAAATTTTGCCTTCCAGGTTCTTTTCCCATAAATTAAATAGTTTTGAATAGTATCCCAAGGTATTTATTTGATGAAATAGATAATCTTTGAATGAGTAGCCTAAACTACAGTATTAACATGGCTTTCATCTTCTAAAAGTAATTAATGTGGTACATTTTGAAATTTTAAAATTTAATCTTTAATTATTTACCCAACATTTATCCTAATATGTGCTCTAGGCAAAACACTAAATGTTGGGAGCCCAGTAACTAGTTGTACAGTAACTAATTCTATCCTTTTGGTAGACGGATGGAAAATACATAACTGCAGGCATAATAAAAACCATGAAGAAAATAAACATGAGATGGGGAATAAGCCAGGGCAGCCTACTTTAAATAGAGATTAAAAGATAATACATTTCTACAGAACAATTTGTATGGAAGTCCTATGAATTGGTATAGTCTAAAGAAAAAGTGCACCAGGAATAAAAATACTTGGTTTCTATTTTAACCCATGTATCTAAGTACCTCTCTGTATAACCCTATCTAGTCACTTACACTTTTAAGTCTTTATTCTAGGAAATGAGAATATTCTCATTTATCACTAATCTTCTCACCTATACTGTCAAATAAGGGAGGGTAGGAATATGGTTAGTAGAAAGTCTTAAGTAGAAGAGCATGCACTTTAGAAAACTTGACTTTATTCCCCTAACTCTGCCACTCACTGTCTTACAGCTTTTGAAATTGTAAACTTGAATAATGATCCCTGAGTTACATATTTCAGAGTTTTAATGAGAACCAAATTGGAATATATATTTTAAACAACAAAGTACAATAGTTGCTAACTAATTTTTATTATCTTTGAAGTTTATGTGGCCCAAAAGATGGACACATGCGAAACCATTTCCTTAAAAGTACAAAGCACTAGATGTTCTCTAGTTAATTTGGGGATATGATAAAGTTTATAGAATTTTTAAGAAGATTTATAGAGAAATTTACAGAAATCTTATAGAGGATGATGAAATAAATGATCTTTGAATTAACTTCCCTAATCCATGTAGTTTTAATAGGCAACAATAATCCTAAAAGCAACCTAAGCTATTGATGTTTAGTAATATCATGTTTGCAATTGTTTTATTTTAAACTTATTGTATTAGATTGTCATTTTTACTGCTTCTTGGACTATGACTATAAAGCATACTTTATTAGTAAGGAATAAATACATGACACTTTGCAAATATTCTCCCAATTTAATGCAGCAAAAGCGTTAATTTTTGATACTATATTATGTGACATAATAAATCTCTAAATGTGAAACCATTTGTTTTTCTTTTATATTGAGTTATAATTTGTCTTCTACATTTTTGAAAAAAAATTTTAGTTGTGTACTCATCCCTTGAAATAATTTAGTACTTTATAACTTGGGTTTCATTCAGTAATTCAACAGTTATTTCTTTTCTACCTGCTGTGTGCCAGATGCTTGTTCTAGATATTAGACAGAATAAGGTAGACAAGACCCTTCCTCAGGAAACCTTCATGCTACTTGAATTCTAGCTATTTATGTGTTTTTCAGTCAGTGTCTTAGCTTACAAAAGCTACCTGTCAGTCAGTGAATTGCCCCAGAATATAAATAAAAGCTTCTTGGAGTAAAATTTATTTTATTAGTAATTAAGCTAGATTAGGAAAAGACAAGGCAGAATTGTCTTATAGCTAGAAAATATTTATTCAAGGAATAATTTGCAAAGCTAGAAACATGATTTCCACAGTGACTGCTTGTTAGGGAGAACCCACTGAAAAGATGGAATCAAGGTTTTGAAACTCAGGTTTGAAATGGCATTTGGCTTCAGTATCCTGGAGATGGAATGATACCCTAAGTGGATCATGCTTAGGTTTCTCAGAGATTATCTAGTGATTAGTGAATGAATGAGAGCAAGTTATCAGAGTTCAAGTGTGTTAAGAATGCAGTATCAGCAGTTGACAGATTTATAGGGAATTAAAGTTTGTGTGACTTAGAAATGTTTATTTCCATGTTTGCAGCAAATGTTTAATTGATATTAGGCTGTTTCAAAAATGTGGCCCCTTCAGCTAACGGGTTGCAGCATATACTTCTGTCAGGCTGTAAGTTAGATCCAACATCTGCTGGGCTGCATTCAGCATTCCTTGCATGCTGAGAAAGCTGTAACTGGGCTGTGATCCTTGTGGGTGCAAGAAAGAAGAACTGGGATTTAATGCTGAGGAAATTAGACATATCTCATATTTAATGATTATTTTCTATTGCTAAATTTTTTTTTTTTTTTTTGAGTTGGAGTCTCACTCTGTCGCCCAGACTGGAGTGCAGTGGTCACTCTGGGCCACCGCAGCCTCGACCTGCTGGCCTCCAGCGATCCTTCCGCCTCAGCCTTCTGAGTAGCCGGAATTACAGGCATCCGCTACCACGCCTGGCTGATTTTTTGATTTATTGTAGAGATGAGGTCTCGCTGCTCAGGCGGGTCTCGAACCCGTGGGCTCAGGCAGTCCACTCACCTCAGCCTCCCAAAGGAATATTTTTATTTTCAATTCTAATGTTTGACTGTGTAAAATATATTTGACTTAAAAATTATTATTGCTATAATAATAAATACAAAGAAGCTTACTTATTTTTACCTCCTGTACTTTGTTTCTAAAATATTTTTATATCTACTAGTTAAGAATGCGTAAGTAAAAATAAAAATAGCAATGAAACTAAGAAAGAAACCCCCACCAGGCACAGCGGCTTATTCCTGTAATCCCAGTACTTCGGTAGGTGGAGGTGGGAGGGTCTTTTGAGTCCAAGAGTTCAAGACCAGACTGGGCAGCAGAGTGAGATCTCTTCTCTACCAGAAAGTGAAAAATTAGGTGTGGTGGCATAGGCCTGTAGTCTTAGCTACTCGGGAGGCTGAGGTGGAAGGATCACTTGAGCCCTGGAGGTTGAGACTGCGGTGAACTGTGATTGTTCCACTGCACTCCAACTTGGGCAACAGAATGAGACCCTGACTCAAAATTGACTGTCATAATATCTCATGTGATCAATTCACCCGTATAGAACAACTGAAAGTGATTTTTGCATTAGGTTTTGGATCTTTGGCAAATGGCTTGCTCCAGTTTCCCCCAAGTGTTAAAAAGAAACTAATGTTCTCTACTGGGATGTGCTGATTGAGATAGCTATACTTCTAAGATAACAGGCAAAAATATAGCCTTCAGAATTGCAGTTTGTTTTATTTAGCCCTTAATCAAACTGAGAAGTTACCTAAATGTATTATGGTGATTTTGTTGAACAAATACTTAATGAAAATCCCCAGCCCTGGGAATACAAAGAAAGATAAGTTGAATTTGCTCACATAAATCAGTCAGAAGCTTCTGCGTGTTTTCTAGTATATAATTCATATTATCATCATGGCAATTTTTGCTTATTAGTATTCAATCTCTGGTTTCTAGGATCAAAAGTTGCTAAATTGCCTTCAGACATTTTAATTTTGAAGCCAGGACAGCAGTCCATTCATTCAAAAGGTTATAAGACTGGTTGAATATGCCAAAATCTTTTGGTACTAGAATTCTTAGCCTTACGCTGTTTTGTAAATATACAAAGAGATTACATCCACAACCTGAACTTGAAGCAAATACTGGGAGTAACAAGATTTTCAGAGATGTGAACTTCAGTGAAAAAGGGAAGCCCCATAGCTTTGAACGATGTTCTCTGATTTTGTCTACATTTTGGGTTTTGTTTTTTGACAGGGTGTAGGACATTGTTTTTATTTTTTTACTTTTGATAATGGAGTTGTTGGGAGAGGGCATTACTAAATATGTGTTAGGTAGGTGATATATAAGTGGGAAATTGTCAAATGGCACTATTCAAGAATGAAGCTCGGTGTGCAATCAGTAAAAATATATTGTTTTATCCAGGTTGGTGCTCTTTTTGTATTGCCGTGTACTGTTAGTAACGTACTCATTCCACCTCCCAACCAACTCAGCTCAAGAAAGTGGAAGGAATATATTGCTAAAAAGCCTAAGACAATCAATGGTAAGTAGTAAATCTTTAAATTGTTTTAATGATGCAGTACACATCATGTATTTATCAAATTTGAAGTGGAGGTAACATTTCTTTTTTGAGTTCGAGTCTCACTCTGTCCCCCAGACTGGAGTGCAGTGGCCGCTCCCGGCCACCGCAGCCTCGACCTGGGGCTCCAGTGATCCTTCTGCCTTAGCCTTCCAAGTAGCTGGAACTACAGGTGTGCGCTACCTCGCCTGGTTAATTTTTGATTTATTGTAGAGATGAGGTCTTGCCAAGTTGCCCAGGCGGGTCTCGAACCCACGGACTCAGGCAATCCACTCATTTCAGCCTCCCAAAGTGCTGGGATTATAGGCTGAGCCACCACACCTGGTTGAGGTAACATTTCTTAATGAGACAATAGTATTTCATATTATTACTACTGATTAAAAACATTCCATGTCATTTTAAGGTTTTTAATTATATCTAACAACCAACTATTAGAGCATAGAGTGTCTATAACCATATTCATTAAAAATGTCAGTGATCTAAAGGCAGAACTCTTGACTCATTAGATAGCTACTTATAGTGAACATGGATTTCTGATAGACATTTTGGGAAATCAAATTTGTGAAAATAAAATGATTCATTTATTATATGGTATATTAAAAAACCTATGATTATAATTTTCTGAAAAAAGTAGTAGAACTTATTTATTTAATAACTTAACTATATGTTACCCAGTGTTCTAAGAACTCTACTTTAGAAATATTGATTCATTTAATTTTTGTAATACCTTATGTACTTGGAGAACCCCAGACTTGGAAAAGTTACAGAACCTCTTGGCTCCGCCAGTTAATAGCTCTGTGGCTTCTCCAGGCGTCTGAATCTTTGTGCTGTGCTCTTTAACCATGACACCGTGTTGCCTTTGTAGTAATCTGGTATGTTCAGGACTTCACTATAAAATGAAATCTCAGCCTCCATTATAAAATCAGACATTAAGTCCAAGCATTTCATGAGGTAATTGTGATTCCGAATATTAAAATTATTTTCCCAAAATTTCCTAGTCCATTAAAGTATGTTCCTTCATTATTTTGCTTTGGGGAACTTTTTTTTTTTTTTTTTAAGTTGAACAATAATTTGTTTAAATTGTTTTTGAATTTACAGTTTTGTGACCCATGATATGATGGGACTAAGGACTGTCATAGAGTCATGTGCCAGGACTATGGTGAAGAAATCTGCACAGAACTACACCACAGAGCCCTAGAGTTCCAAGGGATACAACTTTAAAGCCTGGGTTTTGCACAAGTGCTATCTGGGAAGCAGAGGCAATTCTGAATTACATTTTAGCAAGTGTTGAATTTGACATGCAGATAGGGCATCTGTGTGGAGATTTAAACCTAGAGTTTGAAATTTAGGTGTAGATCTCCAGAGAATAGTCAAGGCTAGAGATTTACCACAGGTCTTGTTTGTTTACTGTGTAACAAACCACCCTAAAAGTTGACTTAAAAGAGCAAACGTTTTACTTGCTCAGTTTTGCAATCTGTGCTGGCCCCGGCAGTGTAGTTTTTCTACTGGTCTTACCAGCAGTCATTGATGTGACTGTGTGGAACTTTGGGTCCTCCTTGACTGCCAGCTGGCTGTCTCTCTCCCCTGTGGTCTCAGAGTCTTTTCCTCACCACATGGTCTTTTCACATGACCTCTCCAACAAGTTAGCTGGAATTTTTACATGACTGCTTAGTACAAACACAGAAGTTGAACCTGCCAGTACTTTAAGGCTTAGTTCCAGAACTGATCCAGTCTCACCTTCTGAAACATTCTGTTATTTAAAGTCAGTCACAGGAATGGTCCAGAATCAAGGCAAAGGTGACTATCCAAAAGCGTGAATGATGAAAAGCCACCCATGTGAAAGCCTACCGTAAATACATGCAGGCACCAGCTAGGGGTGGTTCAAACAACACATAAAGAGGTGGCTGGAGAGGAGAGCCAAGGACAGGGCCTTTAGAAAGACACTTGACCCTCGGAATCCATGGGAGTTGGTCCAGGACTACTCTTGCAGATACTAATATCTGTGGATTTGTATGTCCCTTTAAGTTTTATACATACATACATACATACACACATGGAGTAGTATCTACATATAACCTGTAAGCATCTTCCCATGCACTTTAAATCGTCTCTAGGTTACTTATGTGAAGTTCCTGTAAAAAACAAAAAGAGACAGTGGGTAGGAAGGAGATTGATTGCAAAGGTGTGCTTGAAGTTTTCCAAAACTGGCTTATAGTGATGTATGCACGGTTGTATAAATTTCCCTAAATTTGTCAAACCTCAATGTACGTATGTGCATATGTAAATTATACCTCATTAAACCTTTTTATTTTTTGTAAGAATCACCTGGGGGTCCTTTTGCCTAAATGCAGAGTTTTGTTGCTCTCTTTAATTCAGTGATTCTTAACACCAGCTGCAAATTGGAGTCACCTTGACAGTTATTTTAAAAAGCCAAGCTGGACACCATTGGAGAACAATGCAGTCCAAATCGTAGGGGTGGACCCAGGGCTGCAGTGGTTTGTAAAAGCATCCGTCCCACGTGATTCAAATGTGCATCCAGGATTGAGAATCAGTGCTACTGAAGAGTCCTTCCGATGTTTTGAGGCAGACAAAGCACTGAGAATCACTGCTTCAGGACTTTAATTCCTTCTCTAGAAAATGAGGATAATAACACTTACTTATTGTTTCTGAAATTTGTTTTAGTCAAATTGGTAACAAAGGTACACCTTCTGACCTCTGCAGGAACTTTTCATTATTTTGTCCACTCTCGCATGCTTCTATTTCTGTGGAACAATAAAGACATAGGTTGTTCATAATAATTAGGAAGACCTTGAAATATCTTCTGAATAGCTTCTCTATTCATTGTGACTTTCAAATTATGTATTTTTCTATATTATAACTGAGAGGAAATGTGTGCAGTTTGTGATTCTAAGGTGTTATTTGTAAATAGACACGGTGGAATTTATAAGCCTGTGTTTTTGTAATTTTCACAGTAGGAGATTTCATATACCTATTTAACAACACTATCATTTTTTTTTTTTTTGAGTTGGAGTCTCACTCTGTCTCCCAGACTGGAGTGCAGTGGCCGCTCCCGGCCACCGCAGCCTCGACCTGCTGGGCTCCGGCCATCCTTCCGCCTCAGCCTTCCAAGTAACTGGAAATACAGGCGTGCGCTACCACTCCCGGCTCATTTGGATTTATTGTAGAGATGAGGTCTCGCCAAGTTGCCCAGGCGGGTCTCGAACCCGCGTGCTCAGGCAATCCACTCACCTCAGCCTCCCAAAGGCGCGGATCGATTACAGGCTGAGCCGCCGAGCCCGTCCTTACCATTTTTTAAAACTAATTTATATTCTTTTTAGAATTGAACCTCTTTTTAGAATTGATCATTTTTTTGGAGAATCTCAGTGGCAGTTAAGTTTTATGCTAAATTTCCAAAGCTTAGTCTAATTAATAAGGTGGGGGATCAAGCTAGATAATACATTTCTGAAGATACTTCATGAATTTAAAGTAACTAGATTGACTTTTTTTTCTTGTGCTGCCCCAAATGGCACTAAGGACTGTTTCAAAATTGAGTCTAGAATAAAAAAACGGCACCACTGTTGAAAAGAGTGTTGCCTCCTAAGATGGCTACACTGAAGACTAGATTTTGTTTTATTGTTTGATTTTGGCATAAATATTAAAATAATTGGTTATATTGTTTGCCATTTCTTTTTTTTTTTTTTTGAGTTGGAGTCTCACTCTGTCACCCAGACTGGAGTGCAGTGGCCATTCCTGGCCACTGCAGCCTCGACCTGCCGGGCTCCAGTGATCCTTCCGCTTCAGCCTTCCAAGTAACTGGAACTACAGGCGTGTGCTACCACCCCCGGCTAATTTTTGATTTATTGTAGAGGTGAGGTCTTGCCAAGTTGTCCAGGTGGGTCTCGAACCCGCGGGCTCAGGCAATCCACTCACCTCGGCCTCCCAAAGCGCGGGATTACGGGCTGAGCCACTGAGCCCGGCCTATTTGCCATTTCTTAAGGAGCATATATAAAATAATTGTCAGTAAGTCAGAATATTTATGTACCCAGAATATCCTACTTCCCTAATCATCCTGGGATATTTTCATTTTTCCTCACATTACATGGAATATTCATTCCCCCTTAAATTAATATGATTTTTTTGCAGAATGTTTAACTGTTCAAAATAATTGATGTTAAAGGGTTTTAAGAACCCCTGGTATAGAATAGGACTTGACTTTTCTTATATAAGGGGTTTTTTTGCTAATGAAATACTAATAATGACCTAAGTCCTCATGTGGTTTATATATCTTTGTAAACCTTGTTGCAACTAAGGGACACTGATGGTCTCTGTTTCTCCCACTTTGCTTCTCCAGTAGATCCAAAATGCATGTATGGTTTTGGTGGAGGGGGTATGCAAGCCACTCGTCCCCTTATATATAGTCTGAGTAAATGTAACCGCTGAAAGTAGAGAGACATTTTATTTTATAATCATTTGCCCTTATTTCTTTAGGAAGATTGATGAGGGTAGATTAACTATGCTAACTGTAAATATGTTATTCTCTGTGGTATTCATGTAAAAGTTATTTAATAATTCTTCAGTTAACACCTGCTAAATCTGGAGGAACATTTTTTAAATGACTGCATAGTCATCATGGCCAAAGGATTTCTTGAAAGTAAATATGCTTCTTTTGAAGAAAGTAAGACTGTTGTAATTACAGACCTCAGTGCTAATAAAGGTGATGGGATTTAAACTGAATGTGGAAAGGATGTCAGATTTGAGAGACACATAGAACTTGAATTGGCAGAGCGTAAAGATGTGTGTCAGTTAAGATCTTTTGGCAACCCTTAGTTTCAAATACAACTGGTAACAAGGGTTTTTCCTTCCTAATAACCTTTATTTAAATTCCTTTTCTGAGACTGCTGTTTATGAATAGTGTTAATGTCTATTGCAGTTTAGTTACAGAAATTATTTTTTTATACTTATGG